TTGCACCCGTTTCACGCTTCATCTACAGCTACTTCACATCCCATCCGCAGCCATATAAGTTAACTTTTGAGCAAACATTTTGGCAGAGCATAGGATATCCAACCAAAACTTGACATGCTTAAGTGGACCGAATTCGACTTTAAGAAGGAAGTAGGTTTGAAGCCGGCCACCATTCTTGCCTTTATGTTTTTGGTCAATTATCGCTAATCATGGTGTCCTGCTTTGACGATATCCATCACATGACGGATGTAAGCTCAGCAAGGATTCATCGGGGTCGCAGGACGGTGCGCCGAGGACCCATTCGCAAAAATCTACAATCACAACTACAATGCAATCTCCCTACAGTTTCTTGTTAAGCCAACTTTAGAATCCCTTCCACTCGCCTCTTTAAACCTAATGAAAGGTACTCTAACAGTAAATCATTGACTGACTGAGTGACTTAGTACGTGATTGATTGATTTTCTAATTGAGTCTGTAATTGGCCGGTTGACTAATTGTCTGACTGCCTAACTGACTGATTAGCGTACTGAGCAATTATCTGAGTGCTTGACTGATTAATCAATTGTCTGAATGCATTAATTACTGAATAACAGTCTGAGTGCCTGACTGACTGACTGACTGACTAACTAAAAATTTACTCATCCTCGAAAGCTTTCTTACAAAGGTAAAGATAGTCACTCTAGGTTGTGCAAGCTGAGCTCAAGCCTGAATATGAGTTTTCACGACAACGAGAAGTGAGAAGAAAAGGTGGGTTCCGAGGCATCTCTTGTTTCATAATTTTTGGGCTTACTTCCATTTCGAGTGAAAGTGTTGGGTGAAGAGATTCGAAGGACGATTCCATCAGAAGACGACGGCGGATTCCTCTTGAGCAGCTGTCGATTGGCTTTAATGGAAGATTCACGCTGACGTTGTTTCGGAGGTAATCTTTTTCGATTCTGGTGAAAAGAAGTTAAGCTTTCGTCCGTCATATGACGAGCATCCTCAAAGCGAGGTATCATCGTCACAACCAAATTCAAGATAACGAATAAAGAAAACTCCGCTTTTTATGGATTTATCGATGAGTTTTCTTGACTTGTTAGCTTCAATTTGGTTGTGACGATGATACCTCGCTCTGATGATTTCCGTCATATGACGGACGAAAGCTTCGCATTTTTTCACCAGAATCGAAGGAGATTACCTTCGAAACTGCGTCAGCATGAATCTTCTATTAAAGCGAATTGACAGCTGGTCGAGAGGAATCCGACGTCGTCTTCTGGTGGAATCGACCTTCGAATCTCTTCACCCAACACTTTCGCTCTAAATGGGAGTAAGCTCCACAATGAGTAGTGTTTCGATGCTTTCACTTACCCATGCTCACGACTTGATATCTAATCCTGCTCGGGCTACACACCTTTTGGGAGACAAGGTTAAGTGAAATTCAATGTCATCGGGAGGCCTAGTCATACGAATTTGTCTACACAACCGAAGGTGGTTTGGCTCGTATTTTAGAATTACTGATAATCTCTATACTATTTACAGCGAAGATGAAGGACCTCACGACGTGTGCTGGGTCCTCGAACCACTTTTTGTCGGTCAACTGGCAAAGAAGCGTTTTTCTAGAGCCCCAACTTAACATTCCTTCGGTCTCTCGAGACGGGCGAATCGTTCTGGACCGTGTTGTACCTCCGACACGGCAACCCTCAGGGTGACCCGACCTTCTGGTCACTCTGTTTTTCGTTGGGCCCTCAAGCCGGACAGAGACGAGGTGCCTCTCGCGACAAGCCGTCAATGTCTGGAGCACTTGTGCTTTGCTTCCTCTTGCCTGCCCCACCACTATCAGCCGCCTTGAGAAAGGGCTGAATATTGGCGACATATATTAGTTTTAGTATTGATATTGATATTTGTGCTCGTAATGGTGTTGGTATTGCGATTGGGATTGGGATAAGAACTGGGATTGGAAATGGATTAGGGTTGGATTGGGATTGGTTTGGGGCTGGGATTATATTGTGATTGTGTTGGTATTGGATTGATATTAGTTTGGTATTGGATTGTTATTGTATTAGCACTGGTTTAGCATTGGATTGACATTGAATTGATATTGGATTAATATTGTATTTATATTTTGATTGATATTGAATTTCTATTATATTGGTATTGGATTGGTCTTGTATTGGTATTGGATGGGTATTGGATTGGGACTGTATTGTGATTGGATTAGTATGGTTTTAATTGAGATTGGAATAGGAATAAGATTATGATTTGGAGTCTGGACGTTTGTGCCGCCTTTCCAAATCAAGACTATCGTTCTGCTTTACACAAATAGATTCACTTTCCTCTCTTTCAATCTTTTTCCCTCTCCCTCTTCTTCTCCTCTTCGGCCAGTTGTGTGAGCTAAACCTTTACAGCCAGGACCATTTGCCGCCTCCCGGCTGGGCCCCTTGGCTAACAAGGCACCGGCAGGCCCGGGATAACGCCATCTACGATATGAAAGCGGATTGGCGGCGTCTCGGTCTTTCCGTCTCACCTGAGGCCGGCCGTCCCACGTCCGGGCTGTCCGCAGGCCTTGGCAACTGCGAGATTGGCCCTGCGACTGATGGACTCGCAGATCTCGCCTCCTCCGTCACCACCGTCCCCAGTCTTGATCCCGGTTCCGGCCCGGGTGCTTTGACGCACCGCTTGTCAGAGAAAGAGGTTGCGTTGCCGGGTGTACAGTTGCTCACTGATCGAGCGGTAAGCGACCCGTCCTTTAGTGACGCTTAATATTGTCGCGCTTAGACTCACTTGCCACGGCAACCATGCGTAGGCGCCACGACGAATGTGCCTCGAGTTGGCAGTCTCTCAACAGCTTCGTGTTGGAGAAACATTTGACGAGCTTTCCTAAAAGTTGCATCGTTTATGATGAGACGATACTTGCGGCGTAGTGGAGCGTGACTTTTGGAGTCAGTCAAGAAGGGGTTTCGCCAACAGCGGGACTCGGCCCGATACGGATTCGTGGGTTGGCCTCATCAGAAGCCAAAGGAGGGTTGGTTCGGAGAGATGAAGGTTGAATTATGCGAAGAAAATGTCCCCCGATCAATTTCTCGTCAAAGCGATAAATTGCACTGGCCGTCAATTTGTTGGCCTTTTTGTATTTGATGACGAATTCTGCATAGGATGCACACAGAGTTGGCTTTATTCATTATCTACACACATAAAATAAATTGATGATTAGTATGATTTGTTGCTCTGCTAAATGGAAACTCAGCACAGAGTCATCGGAGTTAACGTTCTTCATTCCTTATCCAATTTACGAATCCTTCCAGCCAACCTTTCGTTTGAAAAGAAAGCTGGAGCCATGGCATTCCTCGAAGCCAAACTTATCTAGACATGTTGGGTTAAAATGTCTGCGCAAAACGTCAGACTTGCTCAGAATCGTTTCTTCCGAGCCAGCAGTCCTCTTTAGGTATGTCTCATCTCCAACGATGTTGCTGAGGCTGATTGCCCACACCGTTCGGCCGACTCTGTCGTGGATCATCCAGGAAGGCCTGCTCCAGTTGTAGGGTGATCTCGTCCGGTCAGATGAACGACTGGAATGCGGGACCATCCAGGAAAAGCCTCAAGCATAGTTACGGTTCAAGGCTTTTCATCCATCCGCATTTCTCAACTCGATCGTTCGCAGACACCACTCGCCGGGACAATCCGCAGATGCTCCGACAAATAAAGAAAAAATAATCAGGGCCTTAGACAAAATGAAGTCCATACGAAGTACCATGACCAAAACAGAAACTGGCACTAACCGAGGAACCATACGCCTATTCAACGCTTAGCATTAATTTCAGGCAAAGATTAAACAAAAAACTCCGGAAGCACAGATTTAAACACAAATAGAATACTGACGTCTTTGAAGATGTGCAGCTTCACCTTTTTGTTGTTTTTCTTCAAGTCTTTTGCTGATAAACGAAGAAGCAAAAGTTCGGAGGATGTGAGTCTGTACGAGAAAAGATTAGCGCTATGAGATGTTTGTATACCTTAATTTATGTGTGACGAAGTAGCGCAAAAAGGCCCGACGGTGACAAATCGTTTCTTCTCCTCAATTTTATGTGAATCATACGAGAGAGCTTTTCGGCTTTTAGAGCGGCTGCACACACGTGCATATACTTTGCATACGATCAGAAATCAGCTCAAAAGTGGTAAAGTTATATGGCTATGAAGAACCAAACTTTTCTCATTTCGAAGTTGAATCCAAACAGAAGACGACGGCGGATTCCTCTTCACCAACTGATGATTGGCTTTACTGGAACATTCTTGTTGACGCTGTTTCCTCTGATTATTGATAGAACGTGTTAAGCTTTCGTCTGTCGTATGACGGGCATCATTAGAGCAGGGTATCATCCTTACAACCATATTTAAGCTGTATATACGAAGAAAATGTGGGCTACGAGTCAAGAAAACGACGTACGAAAGCTTAACACGTTTCTACCGGAATCAAAGCAGATTGCCTCGTAAACTGCGTCAACAAGAATGTTCCAGTAAAGCCAATTGACAGCTGGTAAGGAGAACTTCTCTGGTGGTCGTCTTCTGGTGGGATCGGCCATCGAATCTCTTCTCCAAACACTTTCACTCGAAGTGGAAGTAAACTGAATGATGATGAACCAAGAGATTCCTTAAAACCCAACTATTTTCACATATCTTCTCGTATAATCTGAATAAGTTGTAGAACACTGAGAGTGAATGATTTACAACAAAGTTCTATGCGTGGGGGGGCGACTGGTATATGAATGTCAAACTGAGCACTCAGTGGCTGCTCATCTGCTTGTACACGGATGTATGTCCATGTGTGTATGGGTGTTTTTTGTGATTCCGGATCCACAACCGAACTGCCCGCTAGCTCAGACGTTCTCGTTGACTTCGACTCTTTCAGCTCAAATTAGCACGATCCTGGCTGTAGCGATTAGAGCCCGCGGCTGGATCCAATCTTGATCTGGCGGAAAGGGGGGATGTAAATAAGACCGGCATCGTCTTATGGTTAGATCGAACTTCAAGGCCCGCGGTATTCATCCACTATGTCCTGTTTGTAACGGTTATGGTTATACTCTTGGCACCTCAGTGACAGGATTCTTGAGAACCTGTGTGATGTCGTGGATTCGTGGTAAGAGCATATATTCTGGAATTCGCATCTCACGTCCTCGATCCGAGGTCTTTTAGTGCTTGGCGTGGGAGCGCTCTTGTGTCCCGTCTCGGATCGGTTTCGGATCTATTACATTCTGTCTCGGGTCGGTGTCGGCTTGGTCTCCAGTCCATTTCTTTTTCTCTTTTTCTCTTTTAGCTAATATGTTTGGGGCTCCCTATTCTTATCCCGCCTGAAAGTCTTTTTTCCATTCTTATGTTTCGTCTTTGTGTACGCGTAGGTGAACCGGCTAGCTGTAGCAACTGGTATTGGTCGCAGCTTTGTGTTCATAGAATATGCCGATTACCGTCATGTTCTTGTAACTTTCATCGCAATCTCGGCAGTTCACTTCGTCACATTGTAAGAGATTTGTCGACGCCCTAATCGGCCCGAAATCACTCAGTCTCTCTCGTTAAACCCGTCTGCTTCTGGTTCAAGCGCTAAATGGGCTCGGCTAGTTGATACGTCAATGGGTGTATTCAAGCCGTTCTTATCTTGAACACCTTACCTTCTCCCACACTTTGCTGTCCTCTCTCTTTTTCGTTCTTTCTGTTGCTCACCGTTACGCCTATTCTGGTAGCTAAAACCTTCTGCTGGTCACCATCTCTTGGCGCAGTTCACAAGATGCCTGGCGAACATGTGTTATGATGGAATCGGCTACAGTAGATACGCTTTTATACTGCTTCTGACTTTTTGGCATTCTGCAACGCCCTCCGATGTCTCGGCATCAAATCTGTTGACTAGGGGCATGTTGAAAATAAGGAGTAGATACAAATAGGTACCCATAGTAGGATGTAGCCACAAGAAAACGAGGTTCTGTCAGCTTTAATTTATCAGATTATCGAGGGCAGACCCTTGGGTTTGCCAATTCTGAGGCAGAGCCAACAAGTGTTCACTTGTGTCCATGTCCGTTGTGGTTGGTGCTTTTTCCTACTGTTGTGCATTCCTGATTAGCATGCTCGGAGCTCGGCGTCGGAATGGTGAAACAATGAGTGAGTCTTGAATGTCGTCAATTGGAGAAGACCAACACTCCAAAGTAAAGACAGGAAGGTTGCTATACGAGTTACTTGATAGCAGTTTAGTGAACGCATCTAACTAGCGGAGTTGAACCGATCTGACCGAAGGTATGAGGATCAAGATGGTGTGACCTATATTTTGGTTTTACCCCCTATTCCTAATTTAGTCCGGCGACCTAAGAGTAAGTAAAATTATCCGGACTACACTGCCAGTGTAGCCTTGATAATTCCACAAATGTATCAATTCCGCAGTCTGATGCAGGAAATTTTCATGAGTACTCTAATAAATTACGTCTAACAAGCTGCCTTCATCGAAGACTGCTGTGACAACTTGAACGAGTTGCGAAAACGAGATCAAACCACTTTCAAACCAAATGTAAAAGTTTTACATTTGTGGTTTTGGAATACAATATTTTGAGTAGTTTCTTTCACAGAGGCATGCCTCCAACAGGGCTCTCTCATCGCAGATGAACTGAGGTCTCCATCTCAGCCTCCAGAAGGGATTTCAGACCGGCAAAATTTTGTCAAATTCATTAGCGTATTGAAGTCTACTCGTCCTATTCTACCGCATCTATTCGTCAATCCTATGTGTCACCCTAACCGACCAAAATAGATAGCTAGATAGATAAATGGATAAATAGGTTCAGTTTGTGAAAAAACGCACCACCCTTTTTTGGTCAAAATGACAAAAATTAAAGCAAGTCGATATTATATATAAGCTAGCTATATTTTTTTAATTATTTTACATTTCTGTTTTTTAATAAGTTTAATTTGGACTATATTATCAT